GAGACAGAAACAACTGTGAAGGAAGCAGCTCCATTAGTGTTTCTGTCCACAGGAAACTGGCAAGAGGTTGCAGGCACTTTGGGCTTTTTTACTGCTGACTTTATGTCTTATTTTTTTGTTTTTGATTTTCATCTACAGCAATATGACTATGACAGCAGCACTGTCCGGAAAAAGATATTTGAAGATGCTTTGATCCAAATCACTTTGCCTACACTGCAGCGGACATTGGCCTCAGCTTGCAAACCGGTAGGTTGCTGTGCTGAAGGGGAGTCAAAAGGAGAGGAAAAGTTTGCCTCAATGACATGCTCATGCTATTGTGTTAGCCTGATCATTTGAAAGACTGCTGAAATTAAGAGACTATTGACGGTCGGGGCTAAGGCCAAGTACACTGCAGCTCTGTGTTATGCAGTCTGTAAATCCCAGAATGGACTTATGAAACCCTGGCCATACTCATTTCCTGCCGCTGGGGCATTCTAGGATGTGGTTTCTCAAATGCAGCCTCTGAGCGCTTTTCCCTTTTCGGTGGTGGTGGAAAGGGCCATCAAGTCACAGCTGATTTATGGCAACCACATAGAGTTTTCAAGGCAAGAGATGCTGAGAGGTGGTTTGCCACTGCCTGCCTCTGCGTCATGGCCCTGGTATTCCTAGGAGGTCTCCCCTCCAAATACAAGCCAGGGCCAACCCTGCTTAGCTTCTGAGGTTTGATGAGATGAGGCTAACCTGGGCCATCCAGGTTAGGACCAACCCAATGCCAACCGTTTTCTGTACAAGCCGGTAAACTGAGTCGATGCAGTGCCCTTTCTGTGATGAGCTGCAGTCACAGCCGTGATTGTGGAGACCCTTCCTTGTCCTCGCCCCAGGTGGCCACGGAATGGAGGCCAGGGAATTATCTCTCACTGCCACTACAAGTTCTCCCAGCTGCAGCTTTTGAACTTTAGCCAGTCTTTATGCTCTGCAAACACAGCTAAACACCAGTCTGAAAGAGCTGTTTGTGTGTGTGTGTGTGTGTGTGTGTTTATTACTTTAGATTTGTGAATCACCCAATCCCTGCACACACAAGGCTCTGGGCGATGTACAACAGTTAAAACAATGTTAACATTAATAAAATCTGTAAGTCAATTACATACTCTCCGATGGCATCGATGAGATTTTTTTGTACCCACTCCAGACTGTGTTGCCATCTCGTGGGCAGGACAAGGAGGGGGCCAAAGTGCCAAGATGGAGGAAAAGAAGAAGAGGGTGCCAGCCATGATGGCACCGTTGCCATCCTTGACTGAAAGCCTGGCGGAACATCTCTGCCTTACAGGCCCTGCGGAGTTGCATTAAGTCCCACGGGGCTGTGGAGGTATTTGGCAGAGAGTTTCACCTGGCTCTGGTCGAGGACAGCCGGATATTTGGGGGCCCAGGGATTAACAGTAGATTGTTCTCAGCGGAGCATAACGCTCTCCCGGGGACACAAGTATTCTGCACTATTTGAAGCCTCCGCATTGCCTTTAAGGGCAGCCCCACATAGAGCACATCACAACAGTCCTGTTTCAGGTTACCATAGGGTAGTTTAGTGTGGTTGGATAAGCTTTGTCTGTCTGTCTGTGTGTGTGTGTAAAGTGCTACCAGGTCACTGCTCGATACCACACCATACCACACCTTAAAAAGGATATTATAGCTTTGGAAAAAGTGCAGAAAAGGGCAACTCGAATGATAAAAGGTTTGGAACACTTTCCCTATGAGGAAAGGTTAAGGCGCTTAGGGCTCTTTAGCTTGGAGAAACGACGACTGAGGGGTGACATGATTGAGGTTTATAAGATTATGCATGGGAAAGAGCAGGTAGAGAAAGAGGTACTTTTCTCCCTTTCCCACAATACAAGAACTCGTGGGCACTCCATGAAATTGCTGAGTAGTCGGGTTAGAACGGATAAAAGGAAGTCCTTCTTCACCCAAAGAGTGATTAACACATGGAATTCACTGCCACAGGAAGTGGTGGCAGCTACAAGGATGGACCACTTCAAAAGGGAATTAGATAAGCACAAGGGGTAGGACCCGCGATACTCGCAGGGGGGGGGACCTCCACACAGGAGGCAGAGGAGGAAGC